TATATATATATATATATATATATATATATGTATATATTACATAGGATGTTTCAAAACTTTATTGACAAGCTTCCAGAGCAGTTTCTCGTCGAAGAGGATGTTCCTTGCGTCGCCTGCGTTTATTACCGTCACTTACTTTTTTTACATATTAACTTCCCTCAATCGCTTGTCGCAGGAATCACAAGCGGTTTTCGGCATTTCCGACGTTGTGGAAGCTTGCCAAGGGATTCTGAAGATCTCCTATAATGTTAATTTTATACTATGTATACATAGCGATATACATAATGGAGTGTAACGTATTACATATGCGTACATACGGGGCGATCTTCTGATTGGTCTCTTTAAGGACGGCTTCGATCGAAATCCGATTAACTTGACGAGTAATTCAACCGATAGAATTGTTTAAAGCGAAATTTCTGACTGCATAATTCGTTGCCCCCAATCTCTCCTTCCATACATATGCTGAAAATTAATAATTCCATTTATGAAATTGTTAGTTGGTAATTCTGCTTATAAAATTGTATTTATAAAATCAATATGTATATATTATTCTATATAGATTTATATAATTTATTACATAAATATATTTATAAAATCAATAAGCACATTAATTTAAAAAATTAATTTAAAAAATTCTACATTTATTACAATATATTAGAAATTAATAGTTCCGTTATTTAAAAAAATTAACATTTTTTCCAAGTTATAAAAAAGTACAAGAATTACTCGATAAAAAATAGAAAGTTTTCATAAATTTCAAATATAATAAAATCTTAAAAATATGATTATTTTTAGAAATATTACGAAATGAAGAATTTTTTAATATGCGCCGTTTGAATTAATCGGAATTTAGTCAAAGACGCCTTAAATACAGTGACTTGAAGTCGCTCTATTAGATGAACAGGTTTTATTTCGGGGCACTCGTTAAAACCACGTCAGATTGCGTATTCATTAAGAGGAGACTGGAGATTGTAGTTCCATTAATCAGGGCTGAACGGACTAAGATCAAAGATATCTGATTCTTAAAATTCTAGTCTCCAACTCGCATTCGCCGAATGCATAACTGACTGTGAATTCGATAGTTTGTACTACTCGGCACTGCTGCAAGCTGAAGACTATTGTACATGTAGCTATTTAATGGTAAAAACATAATGTAAACATATTGACCGATGAAATAGACGGTGTTAATATCGTTGTATTTTTGGCGGAATATATATTGGATATTTTGCCGGTTAAAATGCTCATGTTGCGCTTTTACCCTTGACTGCCTTCATGTATGTGTAGCGGTTTTCATAGCATTACAGAACGAAAGGCTCGTTCTTTGTAGTTGAACTTTTAATACGTGTTATCTTATCTCTTTTTTCTCTTGAATGTTCAATCACGTGCCCTTTCATTTTAAATGCAAAAGTTATATAACAACGCGTGGCTACAAAGGGCAGATTCAAGTTTGTTCTTTACAGCTGAACCTTTTGTATGAATATTTATATGAATAGAAGGCACATGCTAATATCCTTCCTCTTTCTAAACATTTAATTATACATCTATTCTATTTTAAGTAAAGAAGAAAATATTCTATTTTAAGTGAAGAAGAAAATATAATATAGCTCTGCTACAAAGAGCGTGGTGAACAATTTTCTGAGAATTCTTTATATAATATAATTTTTCAAAACTTTTACATTAAATTTCGGAATTTTTCACAAATTCTATATAATTTTATAACTTCTTAGAAAATTTCTCGGATCTGAGTTGGAACACTTCTCAGAAATGCTGAGAAAGTTTTATTTTTCTTAGAATTATATACAGGCCAAAAGTTTGTGTGAAAACACTTCCTAAAAATTTTATAAGCTTAAAAATCTGAAAATGTTTCTATCATTTAATTATAATATATATCTATTTTATTTTAAGTAAAAAAAATATAACATAACTCAGCTACAAAGAACATCCTGGTGAAAATTTTTTTCATCATTTATATAATTTTA